AACCCAGTTGTAAGTCCACAGTTAATTTTTTCTAGTATCAATAACATTTCATGCAAAGCAAGCTTTATTTCCAGCTGTAAAGYAATTTAAGCTCTTATAATTTTTTACCTAGAATACAGAAAAATTACTTCTCTTTCATAATTAATGGTAACCTGCTAACACAGATTCAAAAGAAGCATTTTTTAACATTTCAGTGATAAAGGACAGTTGGATAAAGACCAGTTGCATGGATAGCTGCTCTATGAGAACATAATAAACCATGAGCTGCCTAAAACTGCAGGAGAAGAAAGAGCAATTACATTCAGAATGTAGAGAAATGCTATAATATACCCCAATCTGGTTTATAAATTAATAAACTAATAAACATATGTTAGGACTTTAGAAGTCTGAGGGAGCCAATAAAAGTGAAATACATTGAGTATTTGGATACCATATACAACCTTAGCATGTGATAGTTCTGGTATTGGTAAGTAGTAAACAAATGTATTAAGCATCAATAGAAAGAAAGAGGGGGAGAGAGAAAGAGAAAGGTAAAGAGGGAAGAGTGAGAGGGAAGGAATCTCATTTTATTTGGGAACCATCTTCTTGCTCAGTGCCATTCGTCCTCTATATATTCATGCAGTTCATTTGACATTTGCTGAGTGTCTGCTCTAAGTGCTATAGACTGAGAGAAACAAGTCTCCCCGACACTGCCTACCTAAGGCTATCTGTTCTGTATCGTTGAGCTTTTGATAAAAGAATCCTTAGTGATAGAAATATCATTATTCTATAATTCCTTCCGCCTAATACTCCTTCAAGAGATTATTTTAAAAATCCATATTTTTAAAGCACAACTGAAGTGAATAAAATAAACATTCTCTGTGCTTAACATTATAACATTTATACAAACATAATTGCCCTCCTGAGCATTATAATATATTCAATACATTGTGTCTTTGACAATATATGTGTATATGTATAGACAATTTAGTTTCCCAGTAGCTATATACTATCTCTGCACATTACAGTAGCTGTATCTAAAGAGAGAAATCCATAAATTATAGTCATATTTTCATTTCACCTGCTTTTTAAAATAAGACATTAAAATCTTGAACAGATTCCTATGTTGCATTAAAAATAGGAATGTAGTTTTTACTAAATTCTAGAATTTAACATTTCAACCTGAGAGGACAAGCTTGCCAATCTTTCAAGTACTTATAATTAAGGAATGAATATTTAATTAGCCAAAAGAATAAAAAAATGTGAAATCATTCCTCTTCTAAATATCATTTATCACTCAAAGGTTTGTAATAATATTCATTTTAGATGACATATATAAAACTAGAAATTTTCAAAAAATAAAGACTATCTACCATATATTTTATAAATACATGAATATATTTGAATATGAGAGAAATATAGAAAGTTATACATATAAGGAAAAATATAGTATTAACTTCATCTCCCCAAGATTTCAACAAAACGCAATCTTCCAGTAGTGCCCTCCAAAATATTCCTTAATTTCATTTTTGAAGGTGAAGCTAAAATTTCAGTTAATTTTAATTTTAAGAATTCCCATTATCTTATTTGAAGGGATTTTAAAACTGACAAATTTGAACACTAGATAAGAGTTAATTTTTATAGTTAGTGACATGTTCTGTCAATTTCCCCTATTTCTTCATGATTCGCAGTATACTTCAGCGTAAAAATATATATATATATATATATATATATTTATTTGTTTTAAATTCTAAACTACTTTTAAAGAACAAAATCTCATAGTAAAATAGTAGAAGGAAAAGAAATTCTTGCCTCACTCCAGGCAGTTCTGTTTTATTCCTGAACACTGTTAAGCCCCTGCAAATGAAGAACAGTTATTGTCTGCACTATGACAAGACCAGCACTTCTCTTGCAAACAGCACTTCTTCACTGTGAACAACAAAAACAGGAATATCAGCTTGTTCCTTTTACTTTCTAAAATCCTGCATGAGTAGCCCTTAGGAAATAATGATATCCTAGGTCACAATTATGGGCCCTTCAACAACAGATTTTTGTCTTAACTATGTTGTTTATTTTAAGAAAATTTGACCGAAGCAAACTACAATAAATTTCTTAGGGGGAAAAAATGTAGAGTTGTCCCAGAGGCCAACTCTTGCCTAACCCATACGTACCCTGGTGGCAGACTCCAGAGCTAAATGCAAACTCCACATAGAATAATAACTTTATGACTCTTGTAGTACCAGGAGCCAGCCCGCAGGGCTTCCTCTCTCCCCTTTGCACTTCCAAACTCACAGTTTTCATCTAAGAGTAGTGTGGGAACCACTAAATCCTCAGACCAGAGGGATCATCCCCGTTTTCCAAATTCAAGGGACTGTTCAAAAAAAATGTTTCCATGGAGTCCGGTAAGAGCCATAAGGGAAGACACCATACTATATCCCAGTCCAACATCTTTAATACACTCAATACCACTTAAAAGAAGGTTAAAATTGTTGATGTAATGCATAGTAAAATATACATGAAGTATTTAAAAATTAAAGATCAAAACATAGCAAATCTACTTACATCATGGGAGAAGTAAATTGATTTTGCTATTAAATTTCTCTCAAGCAGACAAGATTTCCTAATAAAAATGTGTTGACTTTTTTTTTCTTGTGAAAATAAAGACCTGAAATTTTTTCAGCTCTTTTGATTGTATAGAAACTAGATGGACAGCATTTTACTTATTGAAAAATTATGCTAATCTGCTCAGTTATGATACAGCAAATAAGATCTCTCATATTGCTTTTAGCATTTATATACTTACGCTTGTTTTCATGAAAATAAGCCTAAAGCTATTTATTTTATTCATTAAATTAAAGTCTGAAATTCTTGAAAGATAATTTATTCTAGTAAACTTGGCCTTTAGGCAAATTTCTTCTAAATTTGTCTTGCCTATTCATGCTTCTTAAATAAAATTTGACATTCAGAGAAAAGAGAAAAATGACAATTTTTTAGAACAAATCATATTTAAGAATGTTTCTACCTTTTTACTTTTATAATTAAGTTTTAAATAAACAGCAAAAATTAACCTATTAAATGCAGAGGTGCAATTTATTAAACATAAAATAACAAAAGGTTATATAAAACTACCTGGCCCTCTGGTAGTTAAAGACAATCTCATACCCTAATATGCATTTCTGTTACTTAAATAGTTACCGATTTTTAGCAATATCACCAAAAGCTTTCAGTAGCTTCAATTCATCTTAAAATCTAAATATTCCAGGTTTTCCAATCTTTGAATTGAATATGCTCCATCATTATCAATTTATCTAAGAATATGTAAAAAGTCTGTGTCTGTGTCTTTGAAGGCAGCAGAAATTTTCAGCTATACTGAGGGCCTGTTAGTAACTGTACAACTTGCTCTTACCTACAAATACTGCTATTCAAAAAAACAGGCTAGATTCATCATGATCTTCAGGCATCTTCTTATTTGGAGAAATGTAGTTTTGACATTAAAAGATGATAAGTCATAAGAAAGCTTCCCAGTTTAAAAATTTCAATAACTCAAACTTAACATTTGTGTTTGAAGTCTTCTTCACTGAGTCTGGCATACCTTTACCAGCATCTGTTTGACAACCACTAACCCTCTGTTTGACTCAGGCTTTTCTATTCACTGCCCATTTACCTCTAAAATGCATTTTCTATATTGTACACACTATCATTTTCATGAGAAATAATTATATAACTTCCAGTGGGTAGCTGCAACCTTCTAATTCAACCAGTTCAAACCACATTTCTTGTACTAAAATGTATATCAAAAATTTTTTCTTCAACAATTTCATATGAATAAATCCCATGTCAGAATAAAATCACATTCTAAACCATCTTAACACAATGTAAAATTAATAGCATCTTAAAATCTAACATTTTTACATTTATATAAAAATATCAATTCATCATGTACTACATTTAACTCAACTTAAATTTTATTCTGATTTATTGTATTTATTTTATTTAGTAAGTATGGCTTTAAAAATTAATCAGCTATGTGTGCAAACAAAGCAAATTATTTAAATACATTGACATTAATATACTTATTAAAAAGGAATATTAACAGAAGTTATATCCTATGTTGAACAAAAGCAATAAATTTGTTTGAAAAGCAATGTAATACAGATATTTTCATTCTAGTCATATACAGAGTAGCTAATGCTTTATAAAAGGGAAAAATAAATTAAGCTATTTTATTGTAGCAATAAGAAATTTTATGGAAGAGATGACTAAAATAAGAAAAATATCATGTATTTTTCATTTTGCTCCTTAATTTTATAACTCATTAATTTTATTTCTGAACATATTGAGACATAGTTGAGTTGTGGTCTTAGCTGATCCTTAAACATCCAATTAATATTCCCCAGTTGATTATTTACCAGGCCTACCTGCCTGCACTTTGATATACTGAACTGATATTCTCATGAAAACCACATAAAGGGATGGGGTTGTAACTTAGTGATAGAGTGCTTGCTTAGCATTCATGAGGCACTGGGTTCGATTCTCAGCACCACATACAAATAAATAAAATAACAACTAAAACTTTTTTTAAAAAAGACATGAAGGTGCAGGGGAAAACTCAGGCAAATATTTCTTCAAGTCATATTTTTAAAAATTTACCTATAACTACCCAGATAAAAGCAATGAGATTTTATGCTGTAGACATTTTTCATAAAACTTAATAATTATGTATGTTCACACTTAAGTAAAACCATGGGTCAGAATATTGGAGAACCCAAAAGAACCCTATAAATTTAGGCATGTGTTTAACGACAACTTTAGTAATATAACTGTTTCTCTAGTCCAACTCAAAAATATGCCCAAGATAACCTCCAAAACAAATTATAAGGGTTAGAAAAAGATAAAACTTTACTTTATGCCAAAATAATATGCAAATATAAGGAAATATACCTAGTCACATTTACCATTATCACTAAAATAGGCAAATTACACAGAACTGGTCCTTAGTTCCAAAGCTCAAGCACATTTACCTTGAAAAGCAGCTGCATTTCGAGATATTAGCAGCTTTAATGTAGAGGTGGATGCTTGAAGCACCTGCTGCAGATCTTGGCGAGCTGCAATTTGGTATCTCTCCTCCATCTTCCTTGTGCAACATGTTGGCTTTTTAGATATGCAAACCTGAAGATCAGGTCCTGAAACATATATAAGATTTTCCAGAATGATCATCTATCCATTAAAAAAATATTACATGTCATATGTCATGCATTATAAGTCCTACATACAAGGGGTTCATATTTTTATTAAATTATTCAGTTATTGTAATTTGTTATACATGATAGCAGAATGCAATTCATTTCATATTACACACACAGAGCACAATTTTTCAAGACACTGGTTGTATACAAAGTATTTTCACACCATTCGTGTCTTATACATGTACTTAGGGTAATGATATCTAACTCATTCCACCATCATTCTTACCCCCTTGCCCCCTCCCTTCCCTGTACCCTATCTAAATTTCCTCCATTCTTCCCATGCTCCCCCCACCATTGCCATTATGAGTCAGCATCCTTATATCAGGCCTTTGGTTTTTCAGGATTGTCTTACTTCATTTAGGGTGATATTTTTCAACTCCATCCGTTACCTGAAAATGCCATGATTTTATTCTCTTTTAATGTTGAGTAATGTTCCATTGTGTATATATGCCAAAGTTTCCCTATCCATTCATCTACTGAAGGGTATCTGGGTTGGTTCCATAATGTAGCTATTGTGAATTGTGCTGCTATAAACACTGATATGGCTGTATCCCTGTAGTATGCTATTTTTAAGTCCTTGGGGAAGTGGTTAATATTCTATGTGAGGAATTGATTTACCAAAACTACTTACTGTAAGAAAAATTCTCTATCACCCATTAATACAACCATGAAAAAAAATTCCAAACCACTAACTCTTTGCTCAATAATTTAAATTCTTGATCCAATATTAATTATGTCTACTTAATATGTGGCAAATTAACTACTACATAAGCAATAGATCAGAAAGAGTTAATTTTTGCTTATTTTATTAATTTGGCCAAACTTATTTAAACTAAATATGTAATAGAAAATCATACAGGCTAAAATGGTTTTCTTCATGAGGAAGTGAAATCAAATTTTGTGCATCAAATAAAGGTCAAAGAACATCATCTGATTTCTCAACTCCCACGATGCTTGTGCTTCTTGAGGAATAAAATATCCTCTGCAATAAAATGACAGTAGATTGAAATCCCCCATGGGCCCAAATCCAAGATCCAAGACTCTACTCACTATATATCTGTCTAGAGGCAATTCCTACCATTAAATCACTTTTTGGTTGTATAATCATACTTAGAAAACCCAGTGAGGATGAATGTTACATTAAATGTAAAGTCATTACACATACTTGTACTTAAAAAATAATTTTCTAACATGWTGAACAATTCTCATCCTGGATAGAGATGCTAAGAAAGCACCTGAATACACAGCACATGTGGTAGAAGACAAAGAGGAAAAGGTATGACACAGGGGACAGTTAGCCTCTGAAGAGAGAACCAACCCCTAATGGAACACCACAATGTGCAGGCATCCCAAGCCTACAAGTTGTTTTCTAATGCTCGTGACAAGTTTATTTACAGGCCCTGAAACAGTTATTCTCTAATTTCAGAACAGGAAGAAGTGCTGTGGCCCTTGGTGTCTGGGGAGTCTCACAGCTCCCACATTAGCTCTGCATAGACTGATTTTAGATCAGCAAAAGTAAAATATGCCTGTGCACGCACACAAACGCATACATGTGACAGCCTTCACACTGTTCAAGCTCTTCCTATTTCTTCACACAGTCAGCCTCAGGTTTTACATTTCCAAAAGTTGGTTCTGGATAAGATCAAAACATTTGAAATCACTCTGAGCTTCCTGCCAACATAAGACACCAACATTTCTAATAATTTCAGCTTTGGTTTGTTGAAGATAGACAACAACTGACAGCATTTGAGCATTTTACAAAGGCTAAGAAGCATAAAATATTTATAAGTGTCACAGTAGGTAACATGTTGGCAATTGTTTTTCATTTATCTTACCTAAAGTTATACAAAAGCTAATTCTATTTCAAATAGTAAAATTGATTGAAAGAAACAAAGCTATCTTCTCAGTTTTATTCCTAAATGGAAGGATTGAGGAATTAGCATTCAGAGAAGAGCAACAATAGAGACTAGGGAAAAGAACCAAATGAATAAATATTGACGTGTACAAATCTATTTAGTGTGGGAATAACTACTAGGGGATTTTAAAATAATAATAACAATAATAATGTCTCACTGCAAATATGCCTACTGAGGTCAAATATCTAACACTGTTTGGCTAGATTATATTCAAAAACATGGTCTATAAAGGACCCCTGAGATGTGACCCTTCTTCCCACTCCCTCTCCAGAAACAGAGGCCTCAGTACTCTTCCTTTCACAGGCAGGCCCATTTCAGTTCCTCATATTCACAATGCCACAGAGTCATTCCCCAATACTTTCTTCTATCTGGGGCACTCTTGTCCAGCTATGTTCACCCACACATGCACCAAACACCTACCATCACCTAGTTCATTACTATCCATTTTTCTTAAGATCCCCACTCTGTCTTCCCTAGAGAAACTTTCTGTAAACTCCCAGTTAACACAAGTCCAGATAACATGACATTAGGGCCACATATCTCTCCACTGCACATGTCATCTTTGTACTTTTATATTCTTTCAGGTGATTCTAATTAATTTGTTCCCTCACCAATACTTTAAGTTCCAATCAGGGAACCATTTTGCTTGCTTTTATATTCCAGTTGCACAGAACATTGCCTAATACATGCTAAACACGCAATAATGCATATGTATTATCTAATTTAATCATCACTATGATATTACTGCCACATTTACACATGAGGAGATGAACACATAAAGAGGCTATCCAGTGTCAGGGTTGGGTACAATGTAGCTCAATGGTAGAGTGCTTGCCTAGCATGCAAAAGGACCTGGGTTCAATCCTCAATACTGCAAAAGAAAAGAAATGGATAAAGAAAAGGAAAAATGAAAACTATCCAGATTACAAAATGGTAGAGCTGGTGTTTGGGAAACAGGCAAACTAACTCAGAAGAACTATGTTCTTCACCATTATTCCACAAGAGGAAAGAAAGTCTTAAATCTATAAATGGATTGTTTATAGACATAACTAGCCATCTCCTATTCCTGTTCTGAAAGAAGGCATCTGTTTAGTAAGTTGCAAGAAAATAAATTTTAGGTTAGGAACTATCCAAGGAGATTTATCAAAATAAAATAGACTAAAATACAAAGCTATAGACTTGCCATTTGCTTCTTTGCCCAATTTTAAGTGGTAGAAAATACATTAGAAAGATGCAACAAATTGCCTCTACTGCTATCCTAAATATCCTGTAGGAGAAAAACCATTATGCCTCAGCAACTCTGAGTAAGCAAACATAGCAATTTAGACCACTTAGCCAAAGTACATTCCTCAAGTTGATGAGGGTCTGCACTGATTAATTCAGACTTTCATTTAGAATCTTAGAAGTTTGTAGTGACAAGATAAAACTAAATTCCAAACCAAATCAGAGCTATAGCACCATAAATAGGCACAATACTTACCTATTAGGCATGATATTTTTCATTAATATCACCTACAAGATATGCTTAAATAACTTAGAATTGGGGTGCCAGTAGAGAAGGAAAAGAGTTGGCAAAAAAGATTCCAGTTCCCTTTGTTCCTTCCTGTATCAGTCCAAGAGACAGACAAGATGGACTAAACAAGATCCTCAGGGAAAGGACCATGTCTTAYTTGTTTCTAGAATAAGCACAAAGGACATAAGATGCTTGTTGATTAAAAAAAAAAAAAGCCCAGACTGCAGTTTTCCTGTTGTAAGTAAAACAGGCATCATAAGAAAGCAAAGCTAGAATTAACCCATAACATACCACATGGCAATAAGAGATATTTTAAAAAAGATTTCAAAGCTTGGCTTTAAGAAACATGGCATAATTTCAGGATGATATGAAACAGTGAGAGTGCCCACGCTCTAGGGCAGCTGTCAAGTTTCTGAACAATAAAATCAAACTTTGCAAGAAATACTAAAAACAAAATAAAATAGTGTTCCTCCAGTCAGAAGCCTTCAACCAAAATCATTGGTGCTTTCCAGATTTCTTACTTAGAAGCAGCAGTATTGTTTAATCACTACTCCTTTATGTTCTCCAGCATAAGAAACCTGAAGCCATCTACCTGCTGGTGTGTTTAGTGTGCTAAAGTAGGAACATTTTAACAGGGAGGCATTCTGAAAAGGCGGTGGCAAGGGCAGCATGGTTTTCGCTATCTCCAAATCCTCACATAAAACCAGACAGAACTACAAAACAAATCCACAATAAACTACTACAAAACTAGTTAACATGATAGCAATATCCCCCCAAAACTTCAAAATACAAACAGAATGGAACAGACCAGCAATAGCCACAAGTTCTTCACAATATAAGTATTTGGACAAGAGGGAAAAGAAGGAAGCAATGAAGGAATGTCTGAAGGACCTGAGAACAAGAGAAACCCAAAGTATTGAATAGAATTCACAGGAAGGCAGAGCAGACTGATTTGGGAATAGCAGTGGGGCTGGAAGAATTCTGCCCTCTCAATTATTGAACATGTGTGATGGATCAATAAGAGAAACAAATAAGTGAACAACGGGCAACAAGTCTCCCTTCCAAGACAGATCCTACACAGAAGAGAAACTTCTAGAAGTGGAAATAGAGTTCAACAGAGCAGGGAATAAACAGACATAGAAAAAGAAGGTCTAGACCAAAGCAGAAAGGGAAACAAATGCAGGAAATGCCAGGAAACAAGCAACCATGTTTTTGAATGCCAAATGAAAACATCAGAAGAGGAAATCCAGTCAAGTTAGAACAGCTATTCTGAAGCACGTCTCAACTGAAATGTTCAGAAAAACTAACTTCACATAAAACAAACAACAACAAATATTGGGGTCAAATCTCACACAGAGTCATAATAAAAAAGAGAAGAATAGAATAACATCCCTACACAGAAAGAAAACATGCCATTGAAAGACATACAACAAAAAACATCAGAAACTTAGCTACACTATTCAAAACAAACCAAAAGATAACAACACAAGACATGAAAGAACTACATA